ATAATATATATATATATATAATATATATATATATATATATATATATATATATAATATATATATATATATATATATATATATATATATATATATATATATATATATATATATATATATATATATATATATATATATATATATATTATATATATATATATATATATATATATTATATATATATATATATATATATATATATATATATATATATATATATATATATATATATATATATATATATATATATATATATATATATATTTATATATATATATATATATATATATATATATATATATATATATATATATATATATTATATATATATATATATATATATATATATATATATATATATATATATATATATATATATGTATATATATATATATATATTCAAATTTATATATAGAAATATGTAAATATATTTATGTATATATATATTCAAATTTATATATAGAAATATGTAAATATATTTATATATATCTATATATATAGATTTCTATATATATATATAGAATATTATATATATTTGGGACTGCCCTAAGGCTGTCCTTTATCACCAATTTCCAAAGGAGGAAGGAGCAAGAAAAGAGTGGGTCATTTTATGTGGGAAGAAAAAAAGTGAACTTTGTAACTGCAAAAATTTGCAGAATTCATTTTGAGAAAACAGACTATGAAAGAAAGCTGAAATATGAAATGCTAAATTTGCCAGTTACTTGATGTTTGAGAACCTTGAAAAGAAGATGCTATACAATTGAAACCTACTCCAAAAGTAAAGGTAACTATTGTAATAGTAATTATAGTTAAAGAAAAAAAATTAAGGATTTTAGAAGTAATCAGAAATGTCTTACATTGTACGGTACTGGAAATGAGATGTGGTATTATCATCATCATTATTATAACGATCATTATATCCATAATTATTGTTAAAATAATACCAATAACAATAATAATAATAATAATAATAACAATCATTCATTTTTTATAATAAATTTGTCTAACCCACTTGGATCTTACACATGCCTTGAAAGAATAAAATAATATTCAAATTCCATGTCTTCTTTGTTCATTCTATTTTTTTATGAGGACATACCTAAGCTGCATGAGGAAATATAAAGGCTGAAACCAAGTAAACTATACTAAATACACCTGCAAATAAATCCTGTTAATCATCAACTGTAAAATTATTCCAGTGTGCAAATTGCCAGTATCTAAAATCACTTTAATGCTTGCCGAGTTTGCTATTATCTCCTACCCCTAGCCTACAATTCTCTAACCCCCCCCCCCCCCCCCGTTCTCAGCCACCTCCAAGTGACGTCATAGGCCTTATTCCCCCATGCTGCGCAGAACAGCCCTTTCGAGCTGCCAGTTTGTCGCTGCACTTAGTCATGTCAAATGGTGACACATTTCACACCCTGTATGAACTGAGACTGACGAGTTATATTGCAATTGCAACCAGTCCGAGGGGCCGGGTTAGACTCGGGGCACTTGGCTCAAGGCTTTAATACAAGGTCATTGCCAGAGCACTAAAAATAATAGTATCTTATTTCAGAAGTTTTGTTCATGTCTCGTAACTTTACGTGGTAGACTTGTTAATGGTTTGATCGCGTCCTCGTTCCCCATACAATTATTAGCGTCAGACGTGAATAAAGCCTTACAACTTACAAGACCTGTAATGCATCTGCTGAAGTAGCGTAGTTTTGTAACTGCAGTGGACTTGACGTAATTCCTCCGCTGGATGAGATTGACAGTCGTCATTCCTCACCTTGTATGAACAACACACACAGCTTGTACTCAATTACCTTAATAGATCGAAGGAAATGTGCTGGAGCCATGGCTGGAGCTGCTCACAAATTTCGCGTCTCGGTCGGCTTGGAACTTGAGGCCGAGTGTTGCCAAGGAAGCCAACCTCGAACGGGTGCTGTTGAGATGCCACCTATATATTTTCTCATTAAATATTCAGTGCCTTTTATCATATTCGACCATGCTGATATCAAAAACTTTATGCATTTAAACTAGTTAGCGACAATTTGAAGTGTCATTCACGTTGTGGAGAAAAAGGTTAGGCGATTAATTGAAATATCGATCGCGGCAACAGCAGCAACACCAATGGCGCAGAAGCTGATTGGTCGCTGCGGAGGCGTGTGTTGGCATCATAACCAATCATATTTCTCCATTATTCCTCATCACGTAACTTGGTATGTAACAGAGTTCAACACCATTTTTCTCAAATGACAGTTAATACTACAATCAGTCTCATAAATAAAAGCGTTCTCGTTAATTATAAATCACACAATGTGCATGTCTTTACCGCTAAGTAAAACAACTAAAAAAGAAATGGATAATTTGGTGATCGTTTTCGCTGAATCGTATATGCGAAGTTTCTCATTCCCCAGCTTACACATTTAATACATATGCCACATGTAATCACACCAATGTGTTACAACTATCAGTTATTGCTATGGAAATTCGAGTTTACTAATTATTTCCTATTGAA